TGTTACCTCATTTGTTTCGTGACCATAATTCATAACACTGTATTAAATTAAGTACAGCTGAGAGTATAGACCTACAGTTCTTACACGTGATCGGCGCCAATTTGATGATTAGAATTCCGCTGCATAATTTACAAATATTTAAAATATATTTATTACAAGTATTTAAGCTATAAGCAGAGGGAACCTTGGAATACTAAATAGCATTTTGTACCATGTATCTCTAATAGAAAGACACCTTTTTTTTTTCCTTGGCGCTACAGCCCCAGTGGGCCTAGGCCTACCTCCATGAACTCCGTTCACTTCGGTTTTTCTTGATCTTACACATACTGTAGGACTCCTTGGGCGGGTGAGCAGCTCGTCGCAAGGCCTCTACCTGTAGACAAACACAGAAAAACGCACACAAACATCCATGCCCTGAGCGGGATTCGAACCCACGATCCCGGCTTCCGAGCGAGCGAAGACAGTGCATGCCTTAGACCGCTCGGCTACCGTGACCGGCAGAAAGACACTTAATGATCCCTTATTTCATTACCTTGATATTAATTAAAATTGGGTATTTTCATAAAGAAGTCCACAGTCACACATATTCAAAGTTAATTTCAAATATTTTAAATCCCATTAAGATGAACTCCCCAAATAAAACTGTTTTGAAGACACGGCCTCTAGCAACAAAGGAGTGTGGTTTTGTCAGCCTGCCATTCCGCTTCTCACAAGTGAGGTTTCTTCTTAAGGATCTGATCTTCATTCAGCAAGTAAGAAATCTCCCTCCTTCCTGAAACTCCAAAGTTCATGACTGTGTTCAGATGTGTCCGCCATTGGAACTTCTCCCAAACCAGATGAATGACGTCCATAGATATACAGTACCATATTTTCAGGGTACATTTTGTCATTATCAACTCACCTACCCCCACGTATCCAAAGCGGTCTCTTTCCTACTTGTTTTTAGAGTTAAATAGTGCACAACTTTCTATTCTCCACTATACCTGTGACATAGTGGCTCTTATGTATATTGTCACGAATTTGGGTTTTGTGACTACTGGACAGGGTATGGATTGATAATTTGATTTATTGACTCCTTATACATCAACTCGTAACTACAAATAATACAGCGCTATTGCTGATCTACACATTTTACAAATCAATAGGACAACTAAAGCTTCACAATCTTTACTAATCTTATCCTGGCAACGGATTTATAACAGCCTCTATGTCGCTGCTGCACATTATGAAGTCTTTGCACGGCCTAATTCATTTCTTGTCATTATTCTGCCAACTGCCAACTTTGGAGACTCTCTTAATTCTATCTCTCAGAAGCCTTATATCCTCGTTATACAGCCTCAGGGCGGACTCCATAGAAAACTCTGCTTCCTCTTTTGCTCCATGTTGATTCGCTGCTGTAAGTATGTGTTTACCGTACAGTTACATAGCAACTCACGAGGGGCAGCCCACAGGAAACACTCCTCTTCTATTTTTGCAGGAGTTCGCTTCCGCTGGAATCTGTTTACCGAGCCGTCGCCTAGCAATAAACAATTTCGGCTTTCAGGTGTCATGTTACGATATATACTCATACCTATAATGTATGATTAATAATAAAAATTCAGAATGGCCCTATTATAAAAAGTAACTGTACATTGCTTAGAAAAACTTCATAATGTGAGGATAAAGCAAAAACAAGTAGAGGTATCCCTGCAAGAGGCCATGGAGGCCCATAGGGTTGTGAGATGTTGAGGTACTCACATTTTCTAGAAAATCGGCTCATAGATGGCGATAAGGTTGTCGGTTCTAACCGTCGGCAGCCCTTTACCCCCATGAATATTCCAAGAATATTCCTGATATTCATTTCTGTTAGAGGCTAAGTCGACCCCAGGACCATAGTGCAGCTGGAAGGATTAGGTCAATTGAAAAAATCCAATGATCTCATCGGGACTTGAGCCCGTGACCTTCCGGCTTGTAGTACCTCAACCAACTACGCTACCGCGTGCCCCATAATGTGACAACTCAACATGTTAAAGGAGATAATTATAAAAGACTCACTTAAAGTTAGTGAACCTCAATATATGATGCAGTGTGGTTGAAAAAGCTCAAATTCTTATCTGAACATACCGGCGTGAAGAAAGTGTGAGCTTCACGTCACTTAATCCCTCTAGGCTTGGAGCTCAGTTACTGGAAATACGAAATTTGTGTGTATGTAGTGACGTCAGCACTTTAACGAATCTGCGAATACTAATGAGTTCACACAGTGTTCTTGGGGGGAGGGTAATGCGGAAGAAAATATTAATTTCTCTCGTTATTCACACGAATGAATTGCTCTCGAAGAACAAATTACACTCGCTTTCTGTGAGCGGAACACAACTATAATGAAGCCCATCAAAATAAGTTTTGTCACGATGCAGGGTATCTCCAACATTCGCAATACCACAGAAGGTGCAAAAAGCAGTTAATTAAGTAGTTAGTTTCTATTTACACGTTTCCTTCTCACGCGCCTTAAAAGTTCTGAAAGTAGCTCAGAATCATTTTTCTCCTCCGCTCAGGTTCCTAAAATGTGCTCCCCCATTCTTCCATGCCATAATAGCCATGGATCAACGTATAAATAGGGTATTAATTATTAGAAATTTCTCCATGTGACAAGGGAGGTGTCATGGTGTATATTAATTATTATCCACATGAGCATAATTATATAAGCATACTGATAACTTTATGATGCTTCATATTAGAATTCCTAGAAAGAGAAATCATGAGAAGGTCGACCTATCAAAAATTACAAACACGTAGACCGAAACATGTTGTAGAAAATGGGGCAAATAAAGTGAAAGAATTAAGAGATTTAAAATTTAAAAATTAATTTCTGAATTACGAAAACTTCTAGTATAAGCTGCACGGAAGACAGACACAAACACATGGAAAGAATGGAGTGTAACGAGATAGAGCAATACAACATTGTGATCGACAGGGCCCGGATTTTGATGACATGTCATCTTTTTATCCTTGTATCCTATGCGATGCTCTTAAATATATAAATCTCGGATATGAGCTGCTGGTTACAGAAATGTAAATTTTATACGTAATTTTTTGTCATTTTTCTACATTTTAAGTTTAATGTCATTTTTTTCATTTTGGGGGTAATTTTTTGACTTTTAAGCGTATTTCTTATCATTTTTTACCATTTTGGGGAATTTTTCTTCATATGTTTTCTGAAATGTGAATAACATGGAAAAGAAGTGTTCTTTGCAACAGTTCATAATGACTGAAAGCCAGCAGTTCTCTGACTCACTAACCAACCGACTGACTCATTAGTTGCAACATCTAATATCCTGGTTATAATACCTAGACCCAGATCGCACAGAAAACACCGTTCCTCTGTTGGAGTGCAATTGTAGCGTGGAAACACTTTCTTTATGGAGTCGTTACTTAATGAAGGCTGTTGTATGGTAGCTTATTTCACGGCCGTTGACTAGCAACGGGTCTAATGCCACAATATTATTACAAGAGCAGTGTCTGTAGTGCAGTCAGTGTAACAATCTACATGATGGTCTTCAGGCTTGGGCTCCTTCTATACACAAGCGTTTTATCACCCTCATATACATGTAGCATTCCATAAGTTTCGAAATATTCTTTTATTCTGCACAATGTTGCGCGTAATCCGACATTGTTTTGTTTATTGCGTCTCCGACCAGAACTGTGGGAACCGTGTCGGCTGCGAGCCAGGAATCTGATTATAGTGAAAAAGAGGACAGTAATAAAGCATAGAATGAGAAAGAATAGTGCTCATGTATAATACGTGTCTGTTATACGCAAAATAATTATAATTCTGGGCTGAAAAGGGGAAGTGAGAAAACTGAAGTAATGTAGATAAAAGGGAAATAATAATAGACAGAATAAACAGAATATGATGACAAGGATATTTATAGTTGAGAAAAGTATTGCAAAACAATTCAATAAGGGAATAACCTAACCTGGAAATACTTGAGAACAGGGTGCTGAGGGTAATATTTGAACTGAAAAAGAAAAACTGGCGAAAACTGCATAAGGAGAATCTTCATAATATTCACTCTTTACCAAATATAACTAGAATGTACTACATCATGTAGTACGAATGGGTAGAAGAATGCTTACAGGATTTTAGCGGGAAAGCCAAAAGGAAAGCCACTATTAGTAAGACACCTAAGTAGATGGGAGAATAATATTAAAATGTATCTTGGAGAAATAGAATGTGATGTTCTGTACTGCATTAAGGTGGCTCAGGACAGGAACCGGGGACGGGTTCTTTGAACACAGTACTGAACCTTCGAGTTTTTGTAAGATTTTGATGAATTGCTGAGTAGTTGAGTGACTGGAGGCTTCTTAAGAAAGACCAAACTCCATGACATTAGCTGGTCTCTTTGCCATAAAAATGATTTTGGATATTTTCCATTATCTTTGGAATATTTAATTACCCAACGCTCTTCTTGACCACTGGCCTTTGTCTAATTGGTCCAACTGAATAGGGTTCTTTCCTGTTGTTTAAACTTTATGACAAAATACATGTAGTTTCTGAAACGTCACATAATATAAATATACATAACACAATGGACAACGTCAATCATAATAATTTTGTAATGAAAAACAGTCCATTGTTACAAACCTTCAGCAGATCATAAATAAATTTACTCCAAATCATACTGTAGCCTTGTAGGCGCAAATATCTGATCCCGACATATAATACGAACAGCAACATACAAAGTACATCCATAATTCTAGACGTAGCGAACCCCATAACGAAGAAGACACGAGAATGAACATAACGCTTTCTGCTTGGTGCATCCATTCTGCATTTCGGTGCCTAACATCTTCAAGGTCAACACCCTTGCAGCAGCAGTCTATTGCAGACACAGAATTAAAAGAAGTGGAAGAAGGAAGACGTGAATAGGAAATGTATAATTGGTAGATACGTGTAATTTTTCTACCGAGAACAATGCAACCTTATCCCAGACTCACTTAACCTTGGTTTCAGCTAGCGAACAGCAAGGGCCATTCTTCTCTCAGCTCGCTAGTAGGACGTATAAATACATAGCAAGGACCTCAATGTTGCACATTTTATGGAAAGTTCGAGTCAGAGAACAAGAGTGTGAAGTGATGATGTATATCCTGCAGGTAAGTCAGTGTAGTGAAAGCAACGTTAAGTGATATTACAGAATGGCCTCTTCATATAATACTCGTTCATGTGGAAAACTGAGCTTGCATGATGACAGTCGGAAGACAAATTATGCGGTTGTCACACGTGGAGACGTAAATTAAAACAAAATCAAAGTTACATCGTGTGATTCAGAAAACAGAGGAATTATGGATTATATTTCTGACATAAACTGCGGGTCATTTCCTGTTAAGAAAAACTGAGTTTTTGCCTTATGTTTAGAGTGAAAAATGAAATACACTAATTTACTAAATTAGCGGCTTCCTTAATTATCAGCGACAAAATTAAAGCAAGCAACTTCGGCGGCAGAAATTGTTGCTAATATATCATCGACTTACGTAAGTGAATTAGTTTATTGTTAATTTATTTTCCGAACATAGATGCCTAACTTGATTCAAAGCGCTTTTAAAACTATTTTAGCAGCAAGGATGCTAAAAGGCACACGACTATGCACCTGATTTCTCATGCGCTCACGCGTATATACAGAAAGGATAAAATATTCGAAGTTATTTGCATTTATGAATCGTTAAGAAAATATTTTAAGGCTCATCTCAGAAGTACACGACACTTGGGGTAAGCCTTCTTCAATGATATTAGAATAATTTATGTGATTTTGCTACATATATGAAATCTGCTATACATAGGCACATAAGATACTAATGGAAGGTAGACCTACAACTATTATTCTTGTATATCCTGAAACCGTGTCCTTTCCATCGAAAAAACTGCCTTATTCAAAAGTAAATTATTATTAATTAACCTTCACCAGATCACAGCCACGAAATTTAAAGGCCTAGGTTCGTACGTCTAATCACGTGACAAAATTTTCCTTGTTCTGTAGAATTAAAAGGTTTACATGACCAAGCTTTGGTATTTAGTCTTCTTGTGAAATGTTTGCTCTCACTAAAATTATAATAGTTAATATTGAAGTTAGCCGACCACAGTGGCCGAGTGGTCTAAAACATGAACTGTCTTCTCTGTCTCAAGCACTGGGATCGTGGGTTCGAATACCACTGAAGCCATTGTTGTTATCTGTGTTTCTGTAGGTAACGGCCTTGCGACAGGCTGATCCCCAGTCCAAGGAGTCATAGCGACTGTCTTAGGATTGAGAAACTGAAGTGAAACAAAGCGTTTCATGGATGTCCCATGGTGCAAAGCGAGAGCAACCGGAAACAGAGAGAGAGAGAGAATACTGAAGTCATGCTTTGGGCACTCTTGACAAGTACCTATAAATCTCTGCTTTTTACAACTTATATTCATATGAAATATGAATAATATATAAAGATTATTTCTGTTCGCACAATATTCACTGTAATGTAACTCGGTCTGTTTTCAGTCTAGAAGGAAATTCAGAACAGGTGTCACTAATGCATAATTATCATTGTATTTAACTGAATCGACAGCAATGTTGGAAAGCGGAAGAAGCTTCATTTTCCAAATATTTAGCATAGATATAAATGTTTATATTCTGTTGAGCAAATCTGAAAATCAGTTTTTCATGCCGCTGTGTCTTAAGGGTCTCTTTCCTTTAACCGTATTTATATCTGTAATTTAAAATGAAGTTAATATGACGTATGTGCAAGAAAGTGACGATTAAGCATGCCCGAAAAAAGAACTTGGTAAGCGGTAAGTCCAAATTGCCAAAAATTCCGTGAAGTTCAAAGATCATGAGATAAATGAACAAAATGGAAGACAGGAACAAGAATTTTATGAAAACAACAAGTGATTCTAATTGCGCTCTCCTCTTGTTCCCACTTTGGAGTATAGGGCTCATTTCTCAGTTTCGTAATCATTTTTACAGACCCGAATAGAGTTCATATTTAAGGATGATATGAATATATTCCGTGATCCCTTGGATGGGTGATCAGCTCGCCGCAAAGCAGCTACCTAAACACAGGAAAACACAAACACATCTATGCCTTGAGCGGGATTCGAACCCGGTATTCGAGCGTCGGAGCGAGGGAAGACAGTTCATGCCTCAGATTGCGAGGCTACCGTGACCTGCCATTCTAAATTAACGTAGCGATATTCATGTACAACCCGAATAGAGTTCATATTTAAGAATGATATGAATATATTCCGTGATTCCAAATAAAGTAAAGAAGAGCAGCTGCAGTGAGCTAAACGGATAAGTAGTGAGCAGCTCCGTTTATATGGAGGATATGAGAGCGGTTGCGTGACCATAAAGAAGGGGTGTGGAACTAGAACAGTTGGCTAAAAGAGACCCACAGAGCTTCTTGAAAAAAATTTGGACTTCTGTGAGTTTAATTTAGGAAAACAAGAATAATTTTATGAAATTTACGAATGGCTCAGAAAAAAACATAAATTTTTCACCCTTAATATAATATAATATATTATAAATTTTTCAGCTTAAAAAGGGGTAGAAGGAGAAAGCTGGGAGTTGCTTGAAAATAAATAAGATACATTTGCAATCAGATTGTAAGCCCATTAGTTTAAATAAATTATTTAATGGCACGTCCACGAATACGAAAATATAGTGAGGAAACTGCATTATGGATATGTAAGTTAATATGCATTATGCAAGGTTAGCTGGAAGTTTTATTATCCTTATGAATGCAATAATGGACCAATAATTAAAAGAAATTATCGAGTAGAAAGGCTGTGTGTTATCATAACATTAATACGCATTGTGCTTCAGTCGGGAACCGAATTAGGAACACCGTTTTCGTTCCTAAAATAAAGCTTTAACTCTCGAACTGACAATATATTTTATAACAACGGAGAAGTAGAGAGAAATTGTTTGCTGTTTCTGTCAAATTGGTGCAATTTCCTACCAAAATAAGTAAATCCTTTATTCCGGAAGTAATAGAGTATCACTACACGTCATGAACGGTTTTGTAAGAGCTATGCCTTCTACTGCAGCTTGGAAATACGGCAACGAACTTATGGTTTGAAGGATAAATTGATAAATTATATACGCACTAAGCGAATGTTAGATTCACAAGAAGGAATTTGCTCTGTTAGTTTCTATTTTCAAACAGGTTCCCATTGCCGCTGCCCTAGTTAGGCCCCAGGTTAGGTCATGTGGGATTTGTGGTGAACAAAGTGACACTGGAGCATGTTTCCTCCGAGTATTTCGGTTTCCTTTACTAGTTCTTATTCCATCAACTGCTAAATATTCATTAATCATCCTAATATCGAAGTTATGTAGTCTTGATACTGAGAGTGTCTTTAAATAAGTAACTTAAGAATTCAATATATCAGTGCAAAACGAGTTCTGGTACATCAGGCTTCCTTAATGCTTACAGTGTAAAATTTCATACACAGAAATAAAAATAAAATGCAAGTAATGTGATTGCAGGTAATGAGCATACGAATTGCTCAGGGCAATAAGGACTCACTGTTACCTCAAATAAAATACGTAATACATAACTTTGGAATACCTGATAATTTCGCGATGTGAGACATATATTCATTAGGCAACCTGAAGACTGCTTCAGCACAACCATGAAGCATCGAGAGAGAAGCAAGCTTCCCGAAGGCAGGAGTTATATTTCAGCTCTAAAAATACACTATATTTTTTTTTCAGAGAGTTCTAAATACATATCTGTACGTCTGTTTTGAACAAGAAAGTTGTTACACAAGTGGTAATAGCAATACGCAGCTGCTTTTACTGGTTGTCACGGTCTCTTCGCTTGCGGATTTTTATATTTTTTCTTCTATCCTGAAGATGGAGGCGATACGTTCCTCCGAAACGTCGGTTAACACCACATATACACGGTGCCAAATCCCAGAAGACTGCTTTCTTCAATTTAAATTCAATTCACCAAAAATATAATGCTAAAATTTATCCGTGATTACATATTCTACTGAGTTTTCTTTGTGTCCAAGACTGCCAGGAGGACAGACAGGCAAATTTGCGAAGCCAGATCTTGTGGTGAACGGAATACCAATCAAATTATTATGGGCCCAAATGTGTTGGAAGAAAGTGTGATTTTGGATCTGGATAAAGTAACTCGAAATTCAGTTACTTTGTATATTATATCTGATATATTTCCGTCGAAATATTTTCCCGAATCCACGGCTATGATCTGTAACCCCCAGATATTATTTATGGGCTATAACCACAGATGTTCTTTCTTGGGGGGGGGAGATATTTATTCTGATGGTCAAGAAATTACATTCTTTTACGAGATCCGAATGCCCTTTACCTTGCTCCCAAAATCCCATCATAAAATTCTATCTACAGACAGCTGAATACACTTCTTACAGTCATACCTGATATACCTAGGATTTAATATTAATATTATCTTCACCTTTATGCCTAGGGTTCCCAGGTAGAATAGCCATGTGAGACTCCATTCAGGCGTATGTCATGTCCATCTAATTTTTTTGGTTTACCCTCAGGTGTTGTCGCATCCCCAATTTTGAAACTGTAGATCCATAACATCAATGGCTGTTTACGCATGCGCGTTAACTCATTTGCAGCTGCCCTCTGTATCTGGAGACCTCCTCTGTCTTAAGGACGCGCCGTGCCGCGCTGTGGTGATAACATATATACACAATGTGTTGTGTAGGGCTTTATTCTACAACTTATTTGAATTTTAATTGCATTGTACTGATTCTTCTGTATTGCCTGAAGCACACTGTGTCATCCGGTAATCTTACTAAACAGCTTGAGACTCAAGACAGCAGAAAGAAGCTTTCTGTTCCGCTTAACTGCAGTCTTAGTTCATCCGTTCCTCCTCTTCTTATTGTTGTTGCTTTTTTCTTCCATATCCTTACTCCTTTCCTTTGGGTTCATATTCCATCTCCTCCTATCCTGTTTCGTCTTCTTCGTCACTTTCTTTTTCTTCTTTGCTTCATGTCCTGACCATCAAAGTTTTGCTTTCACGTTCTTGAAGGGTTAGGATGATTGAATTTGGTGTCTCTAACAAAGATATTCGTAAATGTACAAGCCCCTTTTGAAAGCATAAATCAATGTAATATCATGTAACATATTTCGCAAGCCCAGAAATATTACTAACATCTAATTAACGATCAACTTTGTTCATTATTTGGGCTAAGTATGCTTTTCAAATCATATTCTACAGCCAGTGTGAAAATTTCATGTATACGTCATTACTTTAAGTTTCTCAGAATTTATTATAAGCATATTTCAAAATAAATGAGACTTACACAATATCCAGGGCAATGCATGATGTCTCACGAAGCGCCACATTTCACGGAAATGTTTACGTAAAAAATGTTGTAATGTGAGTAAAGGGTGACATGGTCTGGGAAAGTAATTGATTTCATAATTTCTATGAGAAATTTACGTTCCTTACTGAGGAAGCATTTATAAGTAGACGTAACCTTAATTAACACTTTCAATTAACCAAGAAAATTAATTATCTCCACTCAGCAGAGTCTTCCTTGAGAATATTTCATCACTTATTCAAGTCATTCTTCGCTCTTTTGTGGCCCCCGAGTGTTCATTAATATGTTCACAAGGATCGCTATTGGTCCCTATCCCAAGTCTGGGGAATCATGCCTATATCCTCACAACTTACTTATTGTAACAAATGTTCACATTATTTTCCCACTTGCTCTTAAAATTTCCAAGTGCTTTTTTTCTTTTCAGGTCTGCTGACTCACGATCTCTGTTACCCTTTCTACACGTACATCGGCCGCGGACTTAATACTCTTTGATCTGATCACTCAAACCCTAAAGAGTAAAATTTATGAAGCCCCTCAATACGCAACTACCTCCCGTTCCTTCCTGTTCGTTAGGTCAAAATACACCGCCTCCCCTTGCACCCTCAAGTTACGTTGTTCTCTCCAGAGGAGACGAGTGTACGTATAAAAGGTGAAACTGAGCAATCACTATAAGGGGCAGTGGAGGCCTATAGGTTTGTGAGACGCCGAGGTTCCCAAATTTCCTAGCGATGAGTTTGTGAGCCTTAAGACCCGGTCGCCCTTTACCCCCTGGAAGATTCCTGTTAGAAGCTGAGTCGATCCACAGGGTCATAGGGCGGCTGGAATGATTAGGCAAATTTAAAAAATTCATTTACCTCATCGAGAATCGAACCCGCGACCTTCCGACTTGTAGTATAGTGCCTCAACCAACTGAGCTGCCGCATGCCCCATGCATAGAAAGACAGCAGGTAAATTATAGTTTTGTATATATTAGTTTTCAATTCTTTGGAAAGGAAATTTGAAACAGTTTTATTTGCTCTTCCCCTATTTTTAACCGAAGGAAATTTCGATTTGCTCTTTTCTCACCCAATATTTTAATGCCACCAAATTTCTGTAGCATTTGTCTGAACCTTTGTATTAACTTTTTCTTTCGTTGGCACTACAGCCCCAGTGGGCCTAAGCTACCTCCATAAAATTCTCCGTTCACTTCGGTTTTTCTAGGCCTTACACATTCAGTAGGACTCCTTGGGCGGGTGATCAGCTCGTCGCAAGCCCTCTACCTGTACACAAACACAGAGAAAGGCACACACACAAACTAAACATCCATGCCCTGAGTGGGATTCGAACCCACGATCCCGGTTTCCAAGCGAGAGAAAACAGTACGTGCCTTAGACCGCTCGGCTACCGTGACCGGCGACCGTTCTATATAGTGCATAGAATAATAACATTTGAGCATTTTTCTTCCCTCATACATCTCCATGGAGTGTTGCTTCAGCGTACGAGCAACTTTTTGTCGAATCGCTCACATAAACCCACCCTCACAGATTATCTAAGTGTAATTGAAAGTTGCAGACAACTTTGGGGCGCGACTTCCGCACAACAAAAACAAGACAAGTCCATGTCAACACAGTTGAAATAGTATATTCATAATTAGCACTCAGAATTTCGTCCATGTGATGGATTGCACCCTTCGAGACGTCTCAACATGGACAGCTTCATCCTTTCAGAAATGCAGGGGTAGTTGCGGGTATTCTGACAGACATTTGCAATGCGATGATGAAATGACTCTTCATCGTCAAAAGGAGCTGTTACTGAAGGGGTTTTAAATGTCCCACAATTAGAAATCCAGAGGATTCAAGAATGGCAAGACGGCAGGCCATAGAGTGGGTCCCCTCTACATATCCATTGGTCGTGATAGGCACAGCAAGGCTAGACTTGGCTGAAGCACCGTCATGCATGTACCACATCCGCGCTCTGCTAGTAGCTTTGGCCGGTCATGTAAGAGGAAACCTTGGATGTTGTAGCCCGTAAGACGATGTGATAAAATGTGAGGGCCTGGCAAATAATCACCAACAAGGACAATTTTAGCACGTATTGTAATGTACTCCTTCAGCCATAACTCCCTAAGTAACTGTTTCCGGACACGTCTTGGTAAGGACGCTTTGCTTATTTTGGCACGTGGAACTCTAGGCCAAAATTTGGCGGCACCTTCCAGTCACAGCATATTTATATGCACATTTTGGTACAATTTATATATATGTATTATTATTTTTATTATTATTATTGGAGGGGGTGGGTTTCCCCATGCACCGCTATTAATAGTCTATTGTACGTCCCATTTTGATATTCTACCAGTCGCCATACCCTACCGGTATTGGTGCGTGCTATCAGCCCCGTTCAGCCAACAAGGTCGGCCCTCGGTGCCTGATACTTCCCCCATCTACCAGAGGCATTGGAAACTACTTGGGCCAGAAACTTTATGCCTAATTTTGCTCAGAGGTCTCCTAGAGACATGAGGATCTTTTACGTGCCGTAAATCTACGACACGGGACCCACGGCTTAAAGTCCTTCCCGGAGGACCTATTCCCTGAATTTTTCCGCCGTTAAAAATTCCACGACCTCCGCCGGGTTTGAACCCGCGTACCTTGAGTCATGAGGTGGGAACGTCACCCCTAGACTATGGAGGCCGCTTATATATAGGTGTATATGGAATATTGTAGATTAAAACCATATTTTTGTTTGTATTCAGATTGTTGTTTTGGCTGGAGCCATCATTTCGAGAATGGTTCTTGCGAGGCCGGGATATGTTCCATCTCATGCAATTGATTATTACGTAAGTACCACCTAGGTATCATTCTTACTCGTTACTTGACGTAATTATGGCCACATCCCTGAATCATTGCCTGAGACGCAGCACAAGGAAAGCAATCTTCAACAAAGCTCTCTAAATTTAATTTCAATATAAAAATAAGTATTGAAATACAAATATTCGTTTACATTTTCCTAATACATGCTTTTTATGCGTGAATATTGAAATATACTTTAATGATCAGTTAGAGCAGCTAATAAAAATTTAAGAAATCTTACGTTTCGTGTACCTCATGTAGCGGTGTTTTCAAATATTTAAATACTTATCTATACTAAAACTGTCAAAGTGTTCTATTCCGCCATTGGCCCCAATGATAGATGATGATGAATGTGGAGTAGTCGGTGGAATGGGAATTGCCAGGGGAAATCAAAGTACTTGGAGGAAACCTGCCCAAGTGCCACTTTGTCCACCACGAATCCCACATAACCTGACCTGGGCTCAAACCCGGGCTGCCACGGTGGGAAGCCTGCAACTAAATGCCTGAGCTATGGCACGGTCGAAGATCGGGGTTAGATTGTCGACAGGGGCAGGATTTTTCTCTTGTCCACAGCGTCAAGAACGGCTCTGAAGCTCACACATCTTCTATGAGTGTGTACCGGAGGTTATTTCCTCGGGAATAAAGCGACAGGGGCGTCAAGCTGACCATTGAATTCAATTAGTGCCGAGGTCAAGAATTATGGAGCTGTACCTCCACTCCCCGTATGTCTTCACGGTGTGATTTTTTAATTAACTTTAGATTTCTACCGATGTTGGCGAAGGATTTCTGTACTTGTTAATTTAAGTTTTATGTGAGTCACAACCCAGTACGCTCACTGTTTCAGTCGTCCCCGCGTTACGCTTTTAACTACGGCGTGAACGACCAGCACACTGGCGACGTCAAGCATCAGTCTGAGCAACGAGAAGGAGACGTAGTGAAGGGGCAGTACAGCCTGGTGGAGCCAGATGGCAGCATCCGTACAGTGGACTACACGGCGGATCCAGTGAATGGCTTCAACGCAGTGGTCAGCAAGAGCGGGCCTGGAGTACATGTCGCCCCCGTGGTCAAACCCATCGCAGTGCCAGTGGTCAAACCCGTAGTGGCGCAGATAGCTGTTGCTCCCTCCACACATATAGGATATGCCCCTGCACCTGTCGTAGCTCCAGTTGGTAAGTAGCTTTCGGCCTCAGTTGGGAACTACAGACCTAGCTGTACCTTCCTCGGCTACACCATGAACTGAAGCATCTCATAGTCCAGTCTTGCATTAAACTGCACTCCCAAAATCACTCCATGGAGCAGAGAGACAGGTCGGACAAATTGTTGTCCTGTGGAATGCTAAGTTCCATTGTTTTGTCCACAGCAGACCACGGTCCGATGCTGTTATAAGCCAGATTAATCCGGTCAATACCATTACATCGAACTTCTTTTACGAGTAAGATTATTGTTAATATAATCTTCCCATCTACTCTAATGTCTCCAGAATTGTCTCTTTGTTTCAAGTTTTATAATATAAATTTTGTGTGAATACGTAATCCCACCCATTCGTGCTACGTGTTTCATCCATCTCATCCTTCGTGACTTGATCAATGAAACAATTGTTGGTGAAGAGTATAAATTTACTAAGTGCATCATTAATGGTCGTGCCATAGCTCAGGAGGATAGTAGCCTGCTTCCCACCGCGACGACCTGGGTTCAAGCCAGGGTATTATACCAGCCACTGATGATAGATGTTAAGTGTGGAGCAGTCAGTGGAATGAGAGTTGACAGGAGAAACCGAAATACTCGGATAAAACCAGCCCCAGTGCCACCTCGTCCACCACAAAACCCACATGACCTGACATAGGAATGGACCAAGGACACCGCGGTTGGAAGCCGGCGACTAACCACCTGAGCTATGGCACGGCCATTTTCTCACTTAACTAAATTTTATATTTTTACAATCATTATTGTTTATAAAGGTTGTTCCTTGATATTTAGAGCCTGACACATTTCCAAAGTATTTGTTTCCCCTCGTTTCATTGTGATCTTTTGGTTATTTCTGTTTCAGCCGTGACGAAGCAGCACTACACTCAATACCAGACCTACCCGACACACACCACGGCACACCTCGTTTCTGACTACGATACGTATGACACAGGTTACCTGGACGCCGTGGCTGGAGGCCATGATGGACATTATCATAATTATGGATATTACTGATTCGCTCATAAACATGTTCCAATGATATAAGTTCTTATTGCATTGTAAATACAGGAAGTCAGTCACCCCTAATACTGCAACTTGATGTCTGTGGTTCGGCATGTCTAAGAATTGTCCACATTTACAAGAGAGATTTGTAATATGAAACAAAAAGCTGAAGGACTTCGTAAAACACGATTTGGGGCGATCATTACACCAAAGAAATAGAAATGAAGTTATTTATTCTAGCATTAAATCCACGAATTGTCCTTAAGAGCATGGGTAATTAATTTACAATTGCAAAAGATCTTTGCGGAAATTGAGTATAAAATTTTATATATTTCTTCTAAACTCCCTTATGAAAGAAAACATTCTGTATCTATTAATTGTTCACTAATATATAACATTAAATAAATAAAATAGTCCTGTGTACTTTTCTGACTCATATTCTTGATATTAAGCTAGCATTCAGGGCATAGAAATCAAAGCTTAGTATTTATCTATAATTTAATATAATATCTTTTAATTTACTAATAGGTCATTAAAGTATGTACTTAAATATTTGTTTGGGAACTGGATACTGAGTCAGTTTGGGGGGGGGTGTACATCTTATCAATTATCATCTTAAGGTTTCTGATACACTTCAAGATGCTTGGGTTTCGATTGAAGGGCGAGTCCGAATGATAGCTTATTAAAGTGGCAACTTTCTTGCCTATCACAAAGAAGTTTACACAATTGTATACTAATTTTTTAACAGATTTTTTAATTTATTATTGATATCAACTACTTACTGACATTGAACCCAATATACAGATATAAATATTTTTATTCTCCAAAACAACACAATATTTATAAGAAGGAACGCTAACATCACAGGATGTGTCTTCTGGACGCATGCTAAGGAAATCTGTACACTTCAAGGTCAAGCCATTAACAGGATACGTCAGTGTATTCTGATAAAGTGTCTGTCTCCATTGCTACCTAATGTTACGGGTTTGTTCCCGAATGTTCGTTCCGTGACACGGACTGCCCACCTCGAAGGAACAGTCATTGGACGGTAACACTGCATAGAAATTAAATAGGGGTTGTACCCTCTGAAGTTTGTCTTCAGGCGTGAAGAACAGGTATACACATTTTTTTAGATCGTAAGTATTCGGTCTATAAGGCAACAAAGTCAACCTGTTATAAAAGACATTAAAATATATTTAATACATTAAAAGTGTTTGTTAAATATTTTACATGTCATTAACTATACACATGTATTCTTTGTTGCAAGATGTTTCGGCCACACATGGGCCATCATCAGGCAACTTTTGTTGTTGGGGGACCAATGCACTGTACACTTTGTCTTCTGTGCCTTCAGGCACAGCGTTGTTTTTGTGGTTAGTTTCTTTCGTAGGATATCTCCATGGTATAGAGTACAATAGAAGAGAGCACTAAGGCACACATAACCAAAGTAAAGAACATAAAAATACTGAAAGTGCAGCCAAACAGATACGATGGAAATATCCTACGGAAAGGCGCAACTTTATTATAGAAAACGCGAGTCCACTGCACTGTTCCATACTTTCGCCAGTGACTCCGTTTGCAGTAAGTATTCCGTATTCAATCAGAATAACTGGGGTTTTGGACATTTTCCATCGACCAGTATTCCAGAAAATAGAAAACACGACGTTTCGAGAACTGGATGTTTCCGTCCTAAGGTGAGAGGGGGAAGTCATCTATTCGGTTTGGTACCTTAGATAGAGCTAACCTATATATATAGGGAATCCGGAAAGCGCAGTCTGTATAGGTACGAGCTACGGGTTGGAGGATAATGGGCCGAATTTCAAGTCTCCGTGCAGACAAGATTTTTCTCTTTTCCATATTCTCCAAACCGGCCCAGGCCCCAACCAGTCACCCATACAATACGTAGCGGGGGATTTCCCCGGGGTGAAGCCGTCGGGGCATAAAACTGGTCACTACCCTTCAACTAGTGGCGAGGTAAAGAATACGTTGATCTATAAATCCACTCCCACACATCCCTTCATGGCGTATTACTTAATTACTTAAACTCAGGGACTCTACTTTTAAATAATATAGCATATTAAATGGTATTAATATGGTCTATATACGTGTATTAGCGACCCTACAAAGGATTAAGGCGGCAGAGAACGGAGTGTTGATGAAAATGCTTGGGCATAGATGGAAGACGTAACAGGAGGCTGGAGAAAGTCACAGGATGAAAAGCTTGAAAATTTGGAGTCCTATTTTTTCATGCCCACTCAAGGTATGGATGTCTGTCTGTGCGTTTATTGTGTTTGTGTTGTCCTCTGTGTAAGTAGCGGCTTTGCGACGAGCTGATCCCTAGTCCAAGGAGTCCTACCGTCTGTGTAAAAAAAAAAAGAATATATAACTGGAGAAAAGATCAGGGCCCAACAAAGGGCTGTAGCGCCATTGATGAATGAGTGAATTAATTAATCAATTTTTCATGCATCATTATTCTGATGAAATCAAAAAGACGGAGACTGCCGAACTCCTCAACTTGCGTATGAAACGCATGAAGGAAATGAGAAATGTGCACATGAAAAATCGGAAACTTGAAGTGAACAGAATGTTTGCGAGATACAATTGCACATGAGAAGATATTAATGACGTTTACCTTACATAAAATACCGTGTGAAGAAGTTGACTGGTTTATTCGGCTCGGGATATGAGCCAGATTTCTGCTTTTGTGTGCAAGGTAACGGAGTTTCGGTTTCCTTAAAAGGCGGGAAATTCTTTATTACCCAGTCTTCTTTTCTCACAAAGAGCATTGCTTCATGCCTTTAGTTTACTTTCTTTAAACTGAACAACTGGAGCGAATTTTATTTCAGATTATAATAAGAAACAAGTGTGCCACACAATGAGGACCATGTCTTGCAGAGAAAGTGGTTCTATGCCCTTGTAACATTTTCTAAAGGTATGTCACACTTCTATACATTGTTTTTCGTGAGCAATAGAGATATAAAAGTTTACACATTTTCACAGAACAATTATCTAACTTTCTCACAATGTTGCCATGTATGGTATGACGTCACTGAGAGTAAGAATGACCACTGAGAAAGCGCTTTCTCTCACTTGTGGTTATGTAGGACAACATATCACTATATATATGCTCCGGGCATGTACTTAAGTGACCATTTGTTCTGTGGCTAGTAAATGACTAACGAAGAAGTGTTAATGGTTCATCCTGACTCGGTAGACCACTGACAGTGTCTAGAAAGGGAAACTGGTCACGAAACAGAATAAGACATTTTCTGATACGTCATTTCTTTATGTTCAGATTGCAGGAAGCGAATACGACCCTTCGATATCCACTCGTGCGGCTGTTGAGTGACATTTCCGCAATTGCACAGTTATGACCCTGTGAAGGTCTCTGATAATGGCTGACTCATTAAACCACGTTATTAACCTTCCCACTTGATACCAAAGAAACTTAATGAATTTAGAAACCGCCTTCGAATCGAACCTTGGGGAAAGATACCCGGTAAAAATATGACACATTTTCAGAAGTTGCATTCTTATACCACGCGGAGTTATTCTCCAGTTGTTACGGGCGCTTTACCGACTGGTCAGCCGGTCACGGCAGCCGAGAGGTCTAAGGCATGTACTGTCTTCGCTCGCTCGCAAGCCGGGATCGTGGGTTCGAATCCCACAAAAAAAAATATGCATGTTTGGTATGTATATGCTTTTATTCTGTGTTCATGTTTTCCTGTGCTTAGATAGGGGTCTTGTAACGAGCTGATCCCCCGTCCAAGGAGTCCTACTGCCTGTAAAAATGATTATGAAACTGAGAAATCAGCCCTGTGATCCAAAGTTGGAGCAAGAAGAGAGAAGAAATAGTTCTAGAAATAATTACTATTAAAGGCCGCTTCCCACCGCGGCGGCCCGGGTTCGATCCCTGGTCTGGTCAAGTGGGATTTGTGGTGGACAAAGTGGCGTTTGGGCAGGTTTTCTCCGAGTACTTGGGTTTCCCCTGCCAATCTTATTTCCACTAACTGATCCACAGTCACTCTCACATATCATCTGGGGCTGGTACAATAGGCCAGAATTGGCCGCAGTACAAGGGACTTAGTCACACCCCACTAGCAATAAAAAAATACTATTAAATTATAGGTCTTAAAGCTTTGCAACTAGCATCTTTGTACAGGTTTCTTAATAACATTTGGACGCTTAGGGAGAGGTTCACTATAGCTACAGCTTGAATGAAAAACTGAGGAATTAACCAAGCCAACTCCTATATTAAAAGCAGTGTTCAACCAGTTAAGCCACTGACTAACAATCACTGTTCTAAATTTCATCTTTTTCGTAAAAAAGTCGTCCTGAGTCAGAACTGGGTTGGCAGCCTGGCTCCCACGTCTGCATAGGTGGTTTGTATTAGGCAAAAAGTTTAAATGACACATAAGAACCATTAATTAATTAATTAATTAATTCATTCATTCATTATTGGCTCTACAGCCTTTTGTTACCTCGGCCTCTTCTTCAGTTTTGTAATATATTTGCACAGAGTGTGGGCTCCTTGGACGAGTAATTGGCCCTTCGCAGGGCCTCTACCTGCACACAAAACAACACAAAAACAGAATAACCCACAGAAATCCATGCATTCATTGGGATTCGAGCTTATGATCCCTGTTTTCGAGGTAGCGAAGACAGAACATGCTTTAGACTGCACGGCCACTGGGATCGGCACATAACAATCAGCATCTCAGAATATTATGGGACAATGAATCAACGAAAATTTCCGTCTCCTAGGATACATTGCAGTGTAATTAATTACATGGAGCTGAACTTTCTTCGAGAAGTCTTCAGTCTCTGAGCTACTGAAGAATTTCCGTCATTTTATGGTGTCTGAAGTTTCATTACCTTGTTTACAAGAGGACTCCAATGGCCCACAACCTGAACCAAATCTGTCAATTCAGTAATACCCTATCCTATCTCTCTAAGATCCATTTTAATAATATCCTTCCACATACGACTAGGTTTTCCTGGTGGTCTTTCTCCTTCTGGCTTTCCTACCAAAATGATACATGCATTCTTCTTATCCTCCATTCATGGTACATGCCCTGCCCATATCGTCCATCTTGACTTGATCATTCTATTTTGCTTGGCTAAGATTATAAGTTATGAAGCTCGTCGTTATGCAGTTTTCTCCACTCTCCCGTCAATTCACCCCTCCTGGGAGAGGCCAACCCTTTCTAAAACACCCTCAGTCTGTGATGTTCCCTTAATGAGAGAGATCAAGTTTCATACCCATAAAAAGTACAGACAAAATTAAAGATTTTATATTCTAATTTCTACGTTTTTAGACAGTAGATGAGAGAGAAAAAAAAAGTTTTTTTCTTGAATAGTACT